ATATGTACGGCTAAACACTGGTTCTCTCGCTCTCAGTTATGTTGCTTGCTGTTGTTTAATACCGACTGTGCAATGCAGAGAGACGTATATGCGATGCCCTCTTCTGGAGACGGGGCGGGAATATGCAGCTCATTTGCATTTAAAGGGATACACACCAAAACAGCTCTTTTTTAGACACACCCCAAAAATGACATTTTCCAGCTGTTATAATAAATGATCTGTTGGGTATTTTGGGCTGAAACTTCACAGACACATTCTGGGGACACCCAAGACCAATCTTGTAAAAAGGGGCATAATAGGTGCCCTTTAAGCACCACATCTGTTTTCAACACTGATAATAAGAAATGTTTCTTGAGCATCAAATCAGCATCAAGTTGTCAATTTCAAGTAACATTATCTAGGAAGCTGCTAAATTTGATCTGTTCATACCACAGCAGGTACAAAAACCAAGACAGAACCCTTTCAGATATCCAGCTTTGGAGAGCATCTCAGACAACCGGCTTGTGAGACCAGCTTTAAACGTGATCCAGCCACTCAACAGTGGTGCTGGAAACCCTGCAATACCCCCTGTAGCTAAAGTGAAAATCCCTGTCTCTCACTTTACAGGTACAGAACTACAGCCATTCCAGTTTCACCGCTTCACATTGTTTTCCAAACTCAAGCCAAATTGTTATTCAGGCTAGCATTTGGATGTGATCTCTGTTAGAAAATTCAGAACTTCTCTGTTATCACAATTGAGATTTTCTGTTTTTTAATATGGGTGCCAAAATCAGTATGTGTCGCTTTCATGCTGTAGATGTGAAATGGGCCTAAAAATTTGCAGATTTTGATATTTTGTCAATATAAATTTAGAATTGCAGCTTGAGAAGTTAGAGATCAGGGGAACACCACCCAGCACCATCCATCAAAAGCACTCAGATATCAAACGAGGACAGGCAACCTACAAACGACAGTGAGGTGAGATTTTTTCTTCTTCTTGCTATTCAGCTACGTTCTTTTATTTTAATAGTGAAATGAAGTTGGCAGGTTGTGGAGTGTTTTGTAGTCCAAGCCAAGTTAACAAAAATGTTTTTTAGGCCCAGGAGATATTTCTTACTCCAGCAATCTCCTACAGCATCCAGGCAATTACAAGAAGTCCGCCAATGAAAATCCTAGACAAAAAGGAATGGCTGATGTTAACAGAAAGAATGAAGCACGGCAAAAAAACAAACATACTGTAAAAAAAGTCATATGTCTGAGTTTTTCGTTCTTGTGCAAGAGAACATTATCTATTTTTGCACTAAAATGTACAGCTGAGGTGAGACGGGTGTTGTAAATGTCCTGGAGGGAGGGGAGAGAGGCACCAACGATCTTCTCAGCTGCTCTCACTATGCGCTGAAGTGTCTTGCGGCAGGATGCGTTGCAGGCACCATACCACACAGTGATGCAGCTCGTCAGAATGCTCTCGATGGTGCCTCTGTAGAAGGTGTACATGATGGGGGCCGGGGCTCTGGCTCTTCTTAGTTTGCGGAGGAAGTAGAGACGCTGCTGTGCTTTCTTGGCCATTGCTGTGGTGTTGTCAGCCCAGGAGAGATCCTCTGTGAACCTCCTCTGTGAACCTTCCTCTCCTACAGCATCCAGGCAATTACAAGAAGTCCGCCAATGAAAATCCTAGACAAAAAGGAATGGCTGATGTTAACAGAAAGAATGAAGCACGGCAAAAAAACAAACATACTGTAAAAAAAGTCATATGTCTGAGTTTTTCGTTCTTGTGCAAGAGAACATTATCTATTTTTGCACTAAAATGTACAGCTGAGACTAAGTTGTGAAATGATTTTAATGTTATTTAATAATTATCATGTGTTGAAAATCTTCAAATTCAAAAACCTTGAAATATTAAGTAGAGATTTTATACAGTTTTTCTCTGCTTTGAAGTGATGATTCACATTTGGTGCAAATTTATTTGAAAAAAAAAAACAAAGCATTGAAATAAACATGTACATAAGCTTGGAAATAAAGGTTGTTTCAGAATGGCTTCATACTGAGTAAACTCCTGCAACACTGATGAAATGAATATGGTTTCATTTATTTAATAAAAAATTAATTATATCA